CGATGTTACAATCCTTTTTGTCATAGCTGTTAAGTGAATCATTGAAGGCATTAAGTGAGCAACACAGTGGTTAAATGAATTTGGCTCCCCCGCAAACTTTGTCAGAAGGTCGCAAAAGGGGCTCACACAACCTCAGGACACTGCAACCGTCGTAAATATGAGTCGGTTGCCAAGGGTCTGAAGTTTGATCATGTGACCATGGGATCAGGGGTGGGATTCAAATTCCTTAACAACCGGTTCTATGGGTGTGGCTTGCTGACTGGACGTGGCTTGGTGGTCACGTGACTGGCTGGGTGTGGCTTGTATGTAAATATTGTATGTCAACCTGTATGCAAACTCATAAAATTTGCTAGCAAACAAACTCACAAAATTAACTCACAACACACCATGTATGTAAATATTGAATTTTTTATTTAAAAAAAAGAACAACTTTTACCCAAAAGCAGGCAGACAGATTAAATTGCTCGCAGAATCACTGGAGACGGTATCCTGCGATCCCAAATAAAAAATGATCGATCGGTAGGAAAACGAGATGGGGAATTTTCCTGCAAATTTTTGTGGTGATTTTCCCAGGGTCTCTGGTCTGCGGAATTTAAAATTATAAGTTTGGTGGTCCCTGAAATCCAAAAAGTTGGTGACCCCTGGTATAAAGCCCTCTGTGGCTATGGCACTTAAGTTTGTCTCCAGAAGTTGTGAATTCTGCAACAGTAGAAGTTTTTAAGAAGAGATTAGACAGCCGTTTGTCTGAAATGGTGTAGGGTTTCCTCCCTAAGCAGGGGACTGGACTAGATGACCTCCAAGGTCCCTTTCAACTCTGCTATTCTATATTTCTGTTCTATAATCTATTCTATATTCTATTCTAATTGTTCTATATTCTATTCTAACTCAATTCTAATTCCATTCCTATTCTATTCTATTTTTTATTCTATTCTATATTCTGTTCTACATTCATTTGCTTTTTAAAATATTTTTTTATTGTTTACAACTATAAGTATCAAACACTATGCAACCATTTTGGCATTACTCTGCCATACATACAAAAATATTACCAAACCATTAACATTCGTATTATTGATACAGTATTTACATTCTACATCTATTCATCCTAGTTATTTTTGTTCCAACTTTCTCTTCTTTTTTGCAACCAGTGATAAAACTTATTCCAAATATCATAATATTCTGATTTCCCCTTATTTTTCAGTTCTAGTCTATCAGATTCTGCACAAGCCATTATTTTCCTTATTCTCTTTCTGGTGGTATATTTTCATTTGTCCAGTATTGTGCATATACCAATCTCGCCACCATAATACATGTTTTATTAGATATGTTATACCTTTGCTGTAGCTTTCTGTCATTATTCCTAAGAGAAATAGTTCTGGCTTAAATTGAATATGTTCTCCCACCATTTGCTCCACCCATGTCTGTATCAGTCGCTAATATTTCCTTACGTTCTATATTCATTTCTGTTCTATATTCTGTTCTATTCTATATCCTATTCTAATTCCATTCCGTTCTATTCCTAATCTAGTGAGCAGTGCAAAGGGGGTTTAGCTAGGTTTCTTTTTCAAAATTATATCTTTTTCCCTTTCTTTGCTGCACATAACACTTCTTATGTTCTCTTCCTGCTATGAAGTAATATTATGTATGTGGATTATTATACAGAGATATAAAGCTATTTTAAATCTAGGTTACCGAGTTCCCTGGGAAAAAAAATATACATATAAATCAGACTGCTTTTAAAAAAAATCAAAAATCATAGAATAAATTACTTGGATTATAGTTATAAGGCATGATTGAATAAAAGTATAGTCAAATTCTTTTTTTTTAATAATATGTGGATATATGTTTGTATTGATAATAAGAGTTATTATGTAATGTAATTGTAGTTGTGACTGTGAAATGAATGCACAAAACCGATGAACCAACCGACACACTGTATATAAGTATTGAGGAGAGCAGATGCTTTTGTTTTTGTTTGTTTGTCTGTTTGTTAAAAAACCAATAAAATTGTCTTTAAAAAAAAAAATCAAATCACCCCCCTAATTTTTTCACTCTTCAGTTGTCCCCGGCCTTAATTACAACCCAATTCCCCAACTTTTTTGCGCCTGTCATTTTCAAGCCCCCATCTAAAATGAACGTCTTATCCGCGGTAGGCTATTCGATGTGTTACTTAGCTGGATTAAAGAAGCGATTGCGGGGAAATCATCAGCCCAGATCCTTGCCTGGCAGGCGGGTCAAGATACAGACCCGCCAGGGAGCTGTTTCCAAGGGTTTGCACGGGGGTTTCTTAAGAGACCCCTTCAGCATCTTCAGACAAAGCCACAAGTTTACACATGTCAAGGCAGAAAAAGCCGGGAGAAGATGTGCTCCCCACCTTCTCCCCTCAATTTCTATGCTGCCCCAGCCAAGGGAGGCTGGGAGCCCGAAACAAGACATCCTCCCCTCTCGATCCCGCTGGGAAGGGAAGGGATCCGTCCGAGGGATTGTTATTAATCGGCTATTTTGTGCAGATTCAAAAACACAAAAATTGGAACGATCAAGAACAGAGTTGGACCAGCAAAGCACCATGCTGGCAACGGACCAATCAGCGCTCAGCTCCTCTCCTATAAATACCAGCGCCCGCCGCGCCTCCGGCCAATTTAAGGGTCTCCGTTGGAGTAGTGAGGTGTCCCGGTTAAGGATGGCAGAAGTCGCCCCGGCAGCGCCCGTGGCGGCGGCTCCAGCTTCGAAGGCGACAGCAGCGGCGGCGGCGAGGAGAGCGGCAGGCGCTGCGAAGGCGCGGAAGCCGGCCGGCCCCAGCGTGACGGAGCTGCTGATGCAGGCAGTGGCGGCGTCCAAGGAGCGTGGCGGCATCTCCTTGGCAGCGCTGAAGAAGTCCCTGGCGGCCTCGGGCTACGATGTGGAGAAGAATAACAGCCGCATCAAGTTGGGCCTGAAGAGCCTGGTGACCAAGGGGACGCTGCTCCAGACAAAGGGCACGGGCGCCTCGGGCTCCTTCAAGCTCAACAAGAAGCAGGCCGACCCCAAGGACAAGGCGGCCCGCAAGAAGCAGCAGCCGGCGGGAACCAAGAGCGCCAGGAAGCCTACCGGTGCTGCAAAGAAGGCGAAAAAGGCTACGGGTGCCGCCGGGGCGAAGAAACCCGCCAAGAAGGTGGTCAAGAAAGCCCCCAAGGCCGTCAAGAAGCCCAAAGCAGCGGCAGCTAAAGCTAAAAAAGCGGTCAAAAGCCCTGCTAAGGCCAGGGCGGCGAAGCCGAAAGCGAAGCCCAAGACTCCCAAAGCGAAAGTGGCGAAGCCCAAGAAAGCCGTGAAGAAGTGAGTTGTTGCTCAGGTGTGCGAGTCTCATTGCTTGCAAAAACCCCAAAGGCTCTTTTAAGAGCCACTCACAAAAACGTTTAAAAGGTGCTGTTTTCCACTAAAACAATAGCAACCTACCTCGCAGGGCTGCTGTTCGGAAGGGAAATCCCGCGGCCGCTATTTTAATCTCTGGGTAAACGAGCTATTTAATTCGGGCAAAAGCAAAAAGCATTTATGAAAACGTTTTAACACTTAAAAAAACCGGATCACTTGGAGCCGATCGTTTTCGGCCTGACTCCCAACAGGATGTGTGGAAAATGGGAAATGTTAAGTCTTCAGTTACTTATATAAAGAAAAATAAAAGTGGCACATTGGAGAGCATGGAGTATTTTACTAACGATTCACATAAAACGTCAGAAAACGATCAAACTAGACAGTTGAATAAACTCAAATTTATGGGTTACACTTTTCCTGGGTTTTAATCTTGCAACTTTACAAATGAGAGGCCTTATAAGAATGTTTAGTTGCTGAAAAGGCTACTTTTGCATATTTTTAAAAAGTGGAATTTGGCTAAAAGGAAAACGTTTCTTGACTTTCAAAGAGGCAGGGATGCCTTGCTAACAAGCCTAAAAAAGCCGAACCAGCAATAAAATACATTTTGCCTGTTGGGGAATCGTCATATTTAACATTTTATTGGGTGCTGCTAATGTAGTTAAAATGTTAATTCATATTGCTATGTAAAGTGTCCAAATTTAGTTCAACTCACAAATTATGGCGCCAATCTTCGATTTTAAGTGGACCGAAGTTACTGGCAATCTGCTCCCAATTCAGTCTCTCTAATGTTTCTATGTATGTAATTTGAACTATAATTGTAAATAAGAGTATGCATGATCAGCGCTTTACGTGGAGAATTTGGTGGCTCTTAAAAGAGCCTTTGGGTTTCTGAAACAGCGGCGTTGTCTGGAATAGTTTTTACGCCCGCTCTCCACGGATGCGGCGCGCCAACTGGATGTCCTTGGGCATGATGGTGACGCGCTTGGCATGGATAGCGCATAGGTTGGTGTCCTCGAAGAGCCCCACCAGGTAAGCCTCGCTCGCCTCTTGCAGAGCCATGACGGCCGAGCTCTGGAAGCGCAGGTCGGTCTTGAAGTCCTGCGCGATCTCGCGCACCAGCCGCTGGAAGGGCAGTTTGCGGATCAACAGCTCCGTCGACTTCTGGTAGCGGCGGATCTCCCTCAGGGCGACGGTGCCGGGGCGGTAGCGGTGAGGCTTCTTCACGCCGCCGGTGGCTGGAGCGCTCTTCCGCGCCGCCTTGGTGGCCAGCTGCTTACGAGGCGCTTTCCCGCCGGTGGACTTGCGAGCGGTCTGCTTAGTACGAGCCATCTTCAAAACCACAACAGAAGCAATAAACTGTGGTATTGCGCTTCAGGGTATTTATAGGCAGTTCACAGAGCCTTGATTGGTTGAAGCATAAAAAACATCCGTTAGCACGCTTGAATTTCGAGGGCTGAGCTGCAATTGGCTGGAGGAGCGGTCAGGCTAAACTTCAATTAGATTCGGCTTTGATTGAGCTGTTTCAAACAAGTTGCACTTGATTGGACAATGGTGACATAACCTGAGAGGGGCGACCGAAAGTGGCTAAGTTTTCTTTCTGGTCGGTCCTTCTTCTTTATAAAAGATCCCTAAGCAGACCCTCGAGGTTAGTCTTTGCTGTTCGTTGGTGTTGAACATGTCTGGTCGCGGGAAAGGCGGAAAAGGCTTGGGAAAAGGGGGAGCGAAAAGACATCGAAAGGTGCTTCGGGATAACATCCAAGGCATCACGAAGCCGGCTATCCGCCGTTTGGCTCGCCGCGGTGGCGTGAAGCGAATTTCTGGCTTGATCTACGAAGAAACGCGTGGAGTGTTGAAGGTTTTCCTGGAAAACGTGATCCGCGATGCTGTGACTTACACCGAGCATGCTAAGAGGAAAACCGTGACGGCCATGGACGTGGTGTACGCGCTGAAGCGCCAAGGCCGCACTTTGTACGGCTTCGGGGGCTAATTTCTAGACAAAAAAAAACAACGGCCCTTTTAAGGGCCACCCACAATTCCTGAAAAAGAGTTGTAGCATATAAAAATCTTTTATTAGGTAATTTTTGTCTCATAGGAATACGATATCTAGGTAAGTAAAGTTCGTTTATACTCTTCCCTCGAATCTTTTTTCTAGAGTCTGGAATTTGTAGGCTTTGTTGACATAACAAAATGTTTTTCTAGGAGAAAAACAGTCCAGATGTATTTTGAAAAATCGCCCTTGCTATAACTAGCATTTTTATATATTGAGTGCTATACTAGCATTTTTTAACCTGACAGCCTTGAGAGCCTTTTCATGGTAACAGCTTTTTATTTAGATTTTTTATTTAGTGGCTTACAATAAAAAAAACTAAAGCCTTAAAAATACATCAGATTTTCAGTTAAAAATCTAAAACCAAGATGCCTGTCACCTTGGTGGGCAAAGAGTCCCTTGATAGCCATAGGATGACCTAACAACTTTAATACCTATGAATTTATTATGTGTATTCTGGAAATCCTTGGAACGCACAGGTTTTAACACAAACCCAGCCAGCAAAGAGTTAATACTGTATAATTCAATACATTTATGGAATGTTACCTACTGTGTGAAAAAGTCCTGCACGTTTTCAGTTTTAAGCTGTATTTACGTGTTTAATCAATTTTCACTCGTAGAAACCATGTAAAATTAGTACCTTGAGGAAAATTTCTATAGTTGGATTGAGATGCGTAATTTTTATTAATATAACCAGTCTTTTTAATGTTTTGAGTGAGTTTATGTGCTAAAACAAGCACAACTTGCATTTTCGACAATGTTAGGATCAAAAGTAGCCAATCAGCAGCAAACTTTGACTGACCAATCAAAATGCACAGAGGCTAAATCTATGAGCCAATCAATGTTGTCATACTCTGACTAAATAGGCATGAAAAGCATCCAGAAATTTAATTTAGCTCTGGCTGCAGGCAAGGATGAAGGCCTTTGCTTTCACCAGTACTGAGCAGCAGCATCACATCATTGTGCTTCATGAAGAGGGTTACTCCTGTACAGAAATAGCCAAGAGAGTGAAATGCCATCACACCACAGTGAGCAGAGTGGTTGAAAAATACCAAATAACTGGTTCAGTTGATGACAGGCTCTCCTGGAAGACCAAGAAAGTTGACAAAATGGCAAGATCGGACTCCGCAATGTATTACAATGGCTAACAGGAAGCTCCCCTAAACTCAGAGTACAAGAATTTGGGGTGAAATGTGATGTAAAAGTGTGCACAAGCACAGTGCACCGCCGACTGCTTGCCAGAGGCCTCAAAGGCTGCAGAGCTTGAAATAAACCTTTGCTCACAGATGCTCACCGCTCTTGTCGACGTGCGCGGGCCAAGAAGTATGCCAAGTGGGCCAAGGTCATCTTCAGTGATGAGAGCAATTTCTACTTGACTGGGAATCAGTGCAATAAGTAGGTCAGAAGATTTCCAGCTGGAGAATTTAGGCCATACTGCCTGAATCTGTGAAGCATCCATTGCACGTGAAGATCTGGGGCTGTATCCCTGCTTCTGGTATTGGTTGGATACAAATCATGCAGGGAATCATGAATTCCAAGCAGTATGTTGAAATCCTGGAAAAGACCACGCTTCCTTCAGCTCAGCAACTTGTAGGGAAGGACTTTTACTTCCAGGATGATGATGCCCCTTGTCATCTAGCCAAGTCTGTCCAGCAGTGGATGAAGAAGCATGGTGTTCGACTCCTGGATTGGCCAGTCAGAACCTGGATTTCAACCCCATTGAGAACTTGTGGGCCAAGATTGTTTACAAAATAAGCAAGAAGCATCGAAAGACCAAGCAGGAGCCGATTGAGTCCATTACTGCAGCCTGGCACCACACTGTCACCAAAGATCATGTGCAAAGGCTTATACAGTCTATACTGAAGCAATGCTGCCTGGTTATAAGCAATAAGGGCTGGCCAATTTTATATTAGTAACCACGTTTGGTTACCTAAATGGTCCTTTTCAGGGCCACTCACAACTCCTGAAAAAGAGTGGTAGTATATAAAAACTTATTAGATAATTTTTACCTCATGGGAATAACTCAATATTTATTTGGTAAAAAGCTATGTGGTCGAGTAATGGCTATGTAAGTAAGGTTTATATTCTCTCCTCGGATCTTTTTTCTAGAGACTTGTCTGGAATTTGTAGGTTTTAACATTTTATAGCTAAATGGGGATTCTTCAATCTAGAAGAAAAACAGTTCAGATGTATTTTGAAAAAACACCCTTGCTATAACTATAGCATTTTTATATATTGAGTGCTATAATACTAGCATTTTTACCCTGACAGCGTTGAGAGCCTTTTCATGGTAACAGCTTTTAAAAAAATTTATTTAGTGGCTTACGATAAAAAACAACAACACTAAAGCCTTAAAAATACATTAAATTTTCAGTTAAAAGTCTAAAATTAAACCAAGATGCCCGTCACCTTTGTGGGCAGAGTCCCTTGATAGCCATAGGATGACATAATATATTTAATACCTGTGAATTTATTGTGTGTATTCTGAAAATCCTTGGAACACACAGGTTTTAACACAAACCCAGCCAGCAAGGAGTTAATACTGTATAACTCAATACATTTATGGAATGTTACCTACAATCAAATGTTGTTTTCTATTATTTGAGACTCACATGTAGTCATAGAATGCCTAAGGCTAGAAGGGACTTTGGAGGTCTTCTAGTCCAACCCTCTGCCCCAAATCCTTAATCATTTTAGGCGTGAAAGCCTCTCTTGTAAATTTTTTCTTGATTCGGGAACCAATTTATTAGCCCCCATACCAAATTTTGGGTGTTTTTTGAATTTACAGGCAGCCCCTCCGACTTCCTATCCTTTGATGGATGGAGGAGTTTTCCCAATCTTTTCCATACCCCACACCCGTAGATGCTTGTGATATTTACAGAATATGCCTAATTTTGAAACTTCTAACCCCAACTTTTTCACATCCCATGGAATAACATCTCACATCACCACCCCCAATTGCCTCACCCCATATTTCTCTAACGAACTAATAATAAGACTTGAGAGAGAAAAATCAGCTTCTTTTGTGAGGCAGTGGGTGGCTCTTAAAAGAGCCTTTGCAACGTATTATCTGTAGCCAAGACGGGAAATTACTTCGCCTTGACTTTGTGACTCTCGGTCTTCTTGGGCAGCAAGACGGCCTGGATGTTGGGCAGGACGCCGCCCTGGGCGATGGTGACGCGGCCCAGCAGCTTGTTCAGCTCCTCGTCGTTGCGGACAGCCAGCTGCAAGTGACGCGGGATGATGCGCGTCTTCTTGTTGTCCCGCGCCGCGTTGCCCGCCAGCTCCAGGATCTCGGCCGTCAGGTACTCCAGCACGGCGGCCAGGTAGACCGGAGCGCCGGCGCCCACCCGCTCCGCATAGTTACCCTTCCGAAGGAGCCGATGCACGCGGCCCACCGGGAACTGCAATCCGGCGCGAGAAGAGCGAGTCTTAGCCTTCGCCCGAGTCTTGCCACCTTGCTTGCCGCGTCCAGACATGATCGTTCAATTTCAAAGCACGCAACAAAGTACTGGCAAGCCAGAGCGCCAACCCGCCTATTTATTTACTCCTCGGGTTTCCAGAGGTCCTTTTTGATTGGGTGGCGGTCGCGTGGGAGCTTTGGTCGTCCAATAAAACCGTGGTTGTTTCAGCCAATGGGAACTTGTTCAGGCGCGCGGTATGTTTTTATTCCCTCCAATCGGAAGCTTCGTTTGAGGCTGGTTTTGGGGGGGTTGGTTTAGAGAAGAAAAGAAAAAAAAAGAAAGGAAAGGAAAGAAGGGAGATAGAAAGAGGGAGAGAGGGACAGAAAGAAAGAAAAAAGAGAAAGGAAGAAAAAGAAATAAAGGGGAAAAAAAGAAAGGAGGGAGGGGGGAGGGAAAGAAAAAGAAAGGAGAGAGAGGGAGAGAGAGAAAGAAAGAGAGAAAAAAGAAAAGAAGGGAGGGAATGAAAAAGAAAGAAGAAAGAGAAAAAGAAGGGAGGGAAGGGAAAAAAGAAAGAAAAAGAGGGAGAGAGAAAGAAAGAAGGGAAGAAAGAAAAAGAAGGGAAGAAAAGAAAGAGGAAGGGAAGTAAACAAATAAATGACGATCGCCTTAAAATAAATAAGCAAATAAACACGTTTTCTGGCTGCTACTTCAATGCATTAGGATGCTTCATTTAACGGTACTTCACTTAATTTAATTTTAATTAACTATATTACTTTTAATTCATTTACTGGTAGTTTATTTAAGTTCAAATTAGCCTTTTAAATTGTTCTGAAAGTTACTTTCACTGGGATTAAGCGTGTTGGTGAAGAGAAAAGGCATTGCCTACACTAGGAGCTGGTGCATAAAAAAGGGTTGGAAGGAAAATCCATGTGGTTCAACGATCCAAGCTGGGAGAAGGAATAGCCTGGAATAGAGGCTGATTGGAAAGAAGGTTGAACAGCATTTTGTAATTTGCAGGCTTGTTTTGTGTGTTTTGTTATTCGATTTTAAGTAGTTTGTCTGGTGAAGAAGGCCGGCAATGAGTCTAAAGTCCTTGCTTCCTTGGATTTTTTCCTCTTGTTCAACAAATGTAATTAGTCCTAGAGGCTGTTTGCCTTGGGGTTTTAATGCTGTCTTGAATGGATTATTAAATCTGCATTTCTTTTTCTTATTTTCATTTTATTTTAATCCAGACAATCCATCTTCCATTAAACAGTGTGTCATCTGGGTACAAATGTCTTCTGCAATACAACATTTACTCCTGAGGCTGATATACATAATATGTCTAATACTGTAACAATCTTCATCTTAACTTATTTCATTCTATTAATACATTTTCTATATTTTGCTCATCTACTTTTATTTCTGACTTTCATATTTATTCTTTAGCCATCGGTACAATATAATATAATATATAAGGTTAGTTCCCTTTCTTTAACTGCAAGTGTTAACCTATTCATTTCTGCACATTCTAATATTTTCCTAATCATGTTTTTGTCCATAGGGATCACTTTGCTTTTCCAATTCTGTGCAAACACAATTCTAGCTGCAGTTAATACATGAATAATCAAATATACATTTTCTTCATTTCTTCACTTTACTTATATGCATTTCTAAAGTGTGGCCTCCTCAGTTTCTACTTGGGGGCAGGGAGATGGAGTCTGCTTCCTTCCTCTAAAAAAACATGTTTCTCCATTTCTCATTTAGGGAAATATAATATTCTACCTTTTTAATATTTCTCAAAATATTTCATTCTTCTAGGAAGGGGGGGTGGCTTCCCACAAAAGCTAATACATGTAGTCTTCGACTTACGAGCACAATTGAGCCCAAAATTAATGTTGTTAAGTGAAGCATTTGTTAAGTGAGTTTTGCCCCATTTGTGACATTTCTTGTCACAGTTAAATGATGAATCATCTAGCTTTGTTATGGCCCGCCAGCAGCTAGTGGAGCTGGCAGCAGAATTGGACACTAGTGAGGAGGTTGGGGGAGAACACGGGCCAGTCCTGGAAGGCTGAGGAAGGCTCGGATGAGGGCTCTGCATCGGAGGCAGAGATGGGGCCAGGGCAGGCTGGCAGTCATCAGCTGCCTTCGGAGTCGGACAGCAGTGAGGCAGGGGAGCTTCTGGAACTAGTTCTCAGCCTGCACATCAGAGGTGTATTCAGCAGGTTCTGACCAGTTCTGGAGAACTGGTAGCGAAAATTTTGAGTAGTTCAGAGAACCGGCAGATACCACCTCTGACTGGAGATTTTACAGTATCCTTCCCCTGCCACACCCGCCCACAGAACCGGTAGTAAAACAAAAATTGAATCCCACCACTACTGCACATGCGCAGAGCTGCCAAAAGGAAGGCACAATTAAGAACTCAGGGTTGACGTGGAAATAAAGCCACAGGTGGACAGTGAATTGCCCCTCCCATAGGGATTAAAAGAGGAGCAAAAGGGGAGGGGGCTTTTGCAGGAAACAATTCGTTTGTTCATTGCCACAGTGGGAAGATCTACCTGTGCATCTGAGAAACTCCGTGCTGAGCCCTTCCTTGTCAGCACTGCGTTTGGAAATATTTGCTTGGCAGCTCTCCAAGGTAGATAAGGTCTGTGCTCCTCATTAGACCCTTGAAAGACCGTTTGCCAGGCCTTTGGCTGAATGCAAATGCAAAAAATTCACCTTTGTTTAATAAAAGTGGTTTTGCCGGGACAAAAAGTCTGCTTAGTGCTTTTTGGGGAAGCCCAGGTCTGAACAGGCTTCCTCATTGACCGTTTCATCAGACGGTTACAAAAGGAGACCACATGATCTTGGGACACAGCAACCGTTATAAGTGTGAACCAGTTGCCAAGCCATTTTGATCACCTGACCAGAGGGACGCTGCAACGGTCCTAATTGTGAAAAATAGTCCTAAACCACTCTTTTCAGGGCCGTTGTAGCTTTGAACAGTCACTACATGAACTGTTGTAAGCCGAGGACCAACTGTAGTCCAGTAACAAATACCCTGTGAACATATTTTTGGTCAGGGCCAAAATGTGGGGTCATTGCTGAATGTATCTGGGAATATGAGCTGGAATGGCAAACTGACAATAAGAGACTGAGGTTCATTAGTGTCTTGTTTCAGGTGACAAATCAAATGTCCTGAGGAGAACAAACTTGGAAGTTGAAAAGGGGATGGAACAGGAATTCAGCTTCTACAAATTTAGACACAATGATATTTACTTCCTGCTTCCCAGCAAAAGAGGAAGAACCACACTATGATGTACAAATTTCTGTCAAACAGGGCAGAAAATATTACAATCAAGACTATACTCATTTGGGATTCTGCAAGGTGATGAGTATAGATGTATTAGAAGTAACAAATTATTTCGAAAGTAGGAAAATATAGATTATTAAAATTGAAGATTGGAACTGATACTGTTTTGTTATTGTTTTTGTTGCACTATATACAGAGATAAATGGAACAAATGTGAAAAAAGAGAAATTGTGATAAGTTTATTAACTATGTTTAATGAATTTATAGAATATAGTTGAAATGAATTATGATTGTTGTAATGAGATTAATATCAGTTTTTATGATGAATTAAAAAGATTAATTTTTCTTTTCAAAATTATAAATATTTTTGATGTATTTAAAGGTGAAAGTACCATGCGGAATCCGACGTAAGAGGTATATATGTTTTGTAGTTGCTACGAGATTATTGTTATTACTTTTTAAGGTAATACTTAAAAAGTTAAATGATTACTGAGATTTAAAGGGGAACTAATTAAATGATATATAAGGCTAGGGGGTGGCACACTCTAATTGGTAATTGTGGGGGAAACTTTTTTGAAATGTTTGAATTGAGATGAAATTTTTGAAATGATGAATCAAGAATTTGCGATGAAATTGCAAACCTGACAGATGAAAGTACAAAGTACAATGAATATGAAGATATGAGAATTATTTAAAGTTAAAAGAAATAGGTTAAGAAATGAATTGAAAATTTATAAAATAAGCTTTAGGAAAGTATCTGAGAAGAATAATAGAAAATATGTAAAGTAATGGTAAGATATGACACTAAATATGAAAGATATTTGTAATCAAAGTCATATTTATATGGAGTTGTGAAAACCTGGGATTATGTTGTTTACTAAAAAAAAGATGTTTTTAAAATGTGGAAAATTGAAATAAAACTTTTTGTATATATATAAAAAGACTACGCTCATTTGCACCACTTAGGTGACCCTGAGGACATAGACAAACCGTCAAGTGGCCTCAGGGACTCTGTAAAAGGATGCAAAGGACCAGCTGTCTGCAAGGAGGATAAATCTTTCCATTCCCCACCATCTAGTCAGAGCTGAAGAAGCTTCTTGGATGAGAAGCGAAACGTCTTCAAAGAAAAACCAGAAAGTCCGGTTGTCTCCTGAAAAAAGCACCTTTGGGACAACCATGACCTGGATGAAAAAAAGCACACTTTCGGATCTCTCACAGTAGTGGCTTGTGGAAAGAAATGTCCATCTGGGTTCAGTTCCAAGTGGAGAGAAAGACACTGGAAACATGGAGGCTGCTTGGAAGGATGGTTTAATGGTGAACAGGGGTTTGAAGTCTTGGGCAGTTGACCACATGGAGTGGAGCATGAGTGTTATTTATACCCTCACTTGGGCTTTGATCTTGAGCTTCCTGTTCCTGTGGCAAGGGCATGTGTCCTATTGGTTGCTAGACTCCCATGTGGAGTCATGTTTGTCTGAATCGAATTTGGTTGAACCTTGCTAGATGATGTAGTGAAGGGGCTTGCTTGATTGTGCCACGTGGTGAGCTAGATAATCCTATTATGTCTTGATTTTTTTGATTTTTTGATTTTTTTGAGGCGGGAGCTAGCAGCTCAAAATGCAATCGTTTTTTTTTTCATCATCTTGGCAAATCATTCGATGACAGAAGCTACTGAAATGTTGCCTGATACCTGGCAGTTTCCTGAAAACTCTGCACTGGCTGCCAACTTGATCAAGGCTAGATGGAAGAACCTGTGCTCTAAATTCAGTGTTTGGGGTGTGAATTAAGTCTGCAACTCCTTCTGTTTTCACTGTGTGCTGCATGCAAATACAGCTTTCTTTGTGGGTATTTTTTAAAAAAATACTTGACTTATTGGCTAGTAATTGTGAGAAAGGATTACTGAAAAATAGGAAGAGTGGAAGATTCTTCAAATGTTTGCTTTCATCGTACACAAACGCTTCTAATATATGATGGAACCCAATGCAAAAAAACCCTCCTTTGTCTTGAACTACAATTTTAGAATCCTAAAACAACTTGAAAATGTGCTTTCTTCTTTCTTTCCCCCTGCTCCTCTCTTCCCCCCTTGCAGGATTGTGTGTTTCTGACTTCTTTGCTCCAATATTGTCCAATGCACTGAACATTTCATAAAATGATACAACAACAACAAAAAGTATGGACTTCAATGCCCAAATTTCCCCAGCCATCAACTGTGGGAGTAACTCCTTAATTTGCCACTTGTGCTGGAATGTTATCTGGGATCAATATTTTTTATTGTTCAATTCTCACATGTAACCAGTATCTGTTATTATTGATCATCCCTTGGTTTTCGGACATACAGCTAATAACAGAATACAGGTAGTCCTCAACTTACGACTGTTCGTTTAGTACTATTCAAAGTTACATGATGGAAAATAGTGATTTATGACCGTTTTTCACACTTACGACCGTTTTACCGTTCCCCTGCTCACATGGTTCACATTCGGATGTATCTGACTCAACATTTATGACAGTTGCAATATCCAAGAGTTATGTAATCGCCTTTTGTGACTTTCTGACAAACAAAGTCAATGAGGAAGCTAGATTCACTTAACGTTATTCATTTAACAACTGCAATGATTCACTTAAGTGAATTTTGCCCTCTTGAAAGTTAAAATCCACACTTCTCCTAGAAAAATGAAATATTTTAGGTTATACTAAAAAGGCAGAATATTTTCCCTAAAAAGAGAAGTAAAAAATCAGAAGCAGAAAGTCACCTCAGAAGCTCACCTTCGTCGATGGATGGGCCATTAAGGCCTGGGGCAGAGTATTCTACATAACAAAGGCCTCTACCCATCTCATCACCTGGCCTGGGAAGATTGCATCAGCCAACACTCAGGTGAAGCCATGTGGGTCCAGACAAAGCCTACAAAGTTAGCTAAGACCCCGCCTCCTGGAAGTCTGACAGCCAATGGGATACATTTCTTACACAGGAACAGGAAACACCAAAGTAGGGTATACAACTAAGGGTCTCTCAGTATCTTGGCCCTTCTTTTCCTTCACCCAACATCTTGAAGCATGTGACTGTCCTTTTCACTTCGGAGCTCCAAGGCATGTGGTCCTGTCCACCATTAAACCAAACAGCCTCCATGTTTCCAGTGTCTTTGCCCCCACTTGGAACTGAACTCGGAAGGATATTTCTTCCAACTGCCCCATTACAACTTTTCTTGCCACATTTAATAAATTTCTCACTTAACATAAATTCTGGGCTCAATTGTATCCTAAATTTAAGGACTTACCTGTATCGAGTTGGAAGGTACCTTGGAGGTCTTCTAGTCCAACCCCTTTGCTCAAGTCCTCGACTTACAACCATAATTGAGCCCAACACTTGTTGCTAAGTGAGACAGTGAAGTGAATTTTGCATCGTTTTATGACCTTTTTTTTGCCACTGTTGGTAAGTGAATCACTGCTGTTGAATTATGTAACACAATTAAGTGCTTTAATTGAAAGGATTTTTAAAAGCAACTGTTGGAAGAAATATCCTTCTAGATATTCAGTTCCAAGTGGGGAAGAATGGAAACATGGTGATTGTTTAATGGTGGACAGGATCACATGCCTTGGGTGAAGAAAAAAAAAGGAAGAAATGCTGAGAGTCCCATGGTTTTATGCCCACTGTTGGGATTTGAATTTGAACTTGTGTTCTGATTGGTTGCCAGACTCCCATGGGGCCATGCAGGAGCAACTCTGTAGGCTGTCCTGGATCCCAGGCTTGGTTGAACCTTACTGGATGATGGTACAATGAAAGGGCTTTGGACAATTCCTACTATGGCTCTACCTGGAGGAGGTAGATCTTTGTTATGTAGAATACTTGTCCAGACAAAAGTGTGTGGCGGGGTGAGTTTCTGCCTCTCTGGGTTTCTACTTCTCTTTTAGGGGAGATATTCTGCCTTTTTAGTATATCCTAAAATATTTCATTTTTCTAGGAGTGGGGTGGGTTTTAACTTCCAACACAACATAAACGCCCACCAGGCTGCCCAAAATATTTACACCTAAACCAAATTTCAAGATCTTTCTGAAATCCCCATTATCATTCCCCCCACTCCTGCATTTCGTTAAAAGTTGCTGATAAAAGTAGGTCAAAAATCTAGGATTTACCCTGCAAAAATTTGGAGTAGAAGCCACGATGTTAATAAAAAGCCTCGGAGAAATATGAGACACGGAAGCTTTTTAAAATTTTACAGCCAACTGGCCATCTGGATTTTTGTAGTTTAGACCTGAAAAACTCAGACTGCCCATTTATTTCCAGGGTGGCTTTCTTTGAGGAATCTTCTGCCCCCGTTCCGTTTCCATATTGCTCCTTGTTTGGCCCTGTTGGGACATTAAAAATCACCCCTCTCTTACAGGAAATGAAAGATTTTAGGATATACTAAAAATGGGATATTTCTTCCAACAGCCCTACAGAATTATTTTCAGAATTTAGGCAGTGGAAGGTGGGACCTAACCACTTAAAACAGTTAAGATGCATTGTTATTTTTGCTATTAGTTCAAGCCAATAACAATATCCGCACTACTATCATTTTTATTCTTCTCATTACTCCTTATCACCCGTCCCCTCACACTTGACTGTATGACTAACTTTGTCGCGTGTATCCTAACGATTTATATTGACTGTCTAGTATTTGATTGCTTATTGTACCCTATGACTATCATTAAGTGTTGTACATGATTCTTGACGAATGTATCTTTTCTTTTATGCACACTGAGTATTTGCGCCAGACAAATTCCTCGAGTGTCCAATCACACTTGGCCGATAAATAATTTTCTTCTATAAACCCGGCGCTTATAGGAAGGGCTATTAAGTCAAATGAAAACTTCTCAAAAGTTTTCCTTCTGGTCGGCTTCCAGACGCCAACGAGGCCACGTTCTCACCAGTTTAAATTAAGATCCAAACTATCTTTTGTGGCGATTCTAAGAAAAAAACTGGCTCTTTTGTGACTTGGTGAGCGGCTCTGAAAAGAGCCTTTGGAGGCGGATGCAGGGGCTCCGGCTAGACTGAATAGATTTGACTTGATCTCGGGGCTTTTAGGGCCCTTCAGGTCCTCTTGGGCAGCAAGACGGCCTGGATGTTGGGCAGGACGCCGCCCTGGGCGATGGTGACCCGGCCCAGCAGCTTGTTCAGCTCCTCGTCGTTGCGGACGGCCAGCTGCAAGTGACGCGGGATGATGCGCGTCTTCTTGTTGTCCCGCGCCGCGTTGCCCGCCAGCTCCAGGATCTCGGCCGTCAGGTACTCCAGCACGGCGGCCAGGTAGACCGGAGCGCCGGCGCCCACTCGCTCCGCATAGTTGCCCTTCCGAAGGAGCCGATGCACGCGGCCCACCGGGAACTGCAATCCGGCGCGAGAAGAGCGAGTCTTGGCTTTCGCTCTGGCTTTGCCGCCCTGCCTGCCACGTCCCGACATTGTAACTTTCAACCAACGAGAAACGACTCGGAAGTGAAACCGTGTTGCGGCGAACTCCTGCTTTTATATTCGCCGCCGGCTCCTGAGCGGGTGGAAAGGATTGAAGGAAGCCGCTCGTCCAATGAGACGTCGGGCATCTCCTCTTAGCTAATCGGAGAGGGGGCCAATAGGAATGGCGGCGAGAAGAACCCTAACAAAACGTGGGAAGGGTTTTCTTTCTTTTTCTCACGAGGTCGCTTTGAACTTTGGGCGAAAATCGTGACCCGAGATTCTAGTTGAATGATGAAAAAAAAAAAAGGACTAATTTGTTGCAAAAAGGGTCTCTTTCTCTCCCTCCATCTATCGATCATCGATATCTATCATCCATCTGTCCATCCATCTCTATCAGTTCTGTTTATTTAATTTGATTTGTCAATTGCTTACAAGATAATAGTGTAATATTACCAGAGAAAAAGCTACGTAAGATTAGGTTAACAACTCTTAATGCCTTTTTGGCTATGTAGTTACTCTGTCTGTCTATCCATTTATATCAATATCAATCGGTATCTATCGTCTAAGCTGGGGGGAAGGGCTGAGTTTCTGCCTCTCCGAGTTTCTATTTCTCTTTCAGGGGAAATATTCTGCCTTTTTAATATATCCTGAAAGATTTTATTTTCCTAGGAGAGGGGTGGGTTTTAACTTCCAATACTATCTGTCTGTCTATCCATCTATCTATCTATCTATCTATCTATCTATCTATCATCTATATCCACCCATCTATCTATCTATCTATCTATCTATCTATCTATCTATCTATCTATCTATCTATCTATCTATCTATCTATCATCTATCTATCTATTTATTTATCTATCTATCATCTATATCCATCTATCTATCTATCTATCTATCTATCTATCTATCTATCTATCTATCTATCTATCTATCTATCTATCTATCTATCTATTTATCTATCTATCTATTGTCACCATAGCGATGCTGTTTGAGTTGTGATTGCAAGGACCAAGTCATAAGTCACTTTTTCCCTCCAGTGGTGTTGTAACTTCCAACGGTTGCTAGACAAATGGCCATAAGTCGAGGACTAGCTGAATTTCTACCTGGCAGGACTGTTGTGTCTGCCATGCTTTTAGGATCTTTCTCAGGATCCCCAACCGACGGACCGTGTTTGGCCCAGGGGAGGGAAGTGGGAGAGAGAGAGAGAGAGAGAGAGAGAGACAGAGAGGGAGAGGAGAGACAGAGAGGGAGAGGAGAGACAG